ATAAACGAGGGTAATAAAAAGGGTTGTTTTTTAAAACTTTTAACGAAAAAACAGTCGTAATTAGGAACTTGGGAAGGCGTTCGTATTAACAACATTTGTTATAGTTTGCGCTGTAATGATGTTTTGTAATGGCATGTCTGTCGGAGATAGATATGTTATGGTCGTAGGGTTGGTAGGTATTTTTTGGATGTTATGGTTGTGGGTTGGTGTGTGTTATTTATATGGGCGGGGGAATGGATAGGCGATTGTTATATGTCCTAAAAGAACTAGACTTGTAAAGGGGCTAAGCCAGACCTATTTTTCAGCTTGACTCAAAGCCTTGGTTTGGGCTCCGGCTTTCTTTTACTGGACTTACGTGTGCCATCATGGCTCTTTTACATTTACTTGGTTAAGGCTTAAATTAGGTTCACAAGGACCTCAGGTCTCAAAACGAAAGATTTGAGTTGTGAAAGGCACGTGGACTGGGTTGAAAAAAAACTGGGTCCGCCCTCTTTACAAGTCTATCTAAATACCACTCTAAGGTGATGACACCAGAGTTCAGCTTAGGTCCCGCAACAAAAGAATCTTGTCTGGCAGCCTTAAAATTTTTGCCGAGGCTTAAATCGCAACCATGGGGCCCTGGCTAGGTCTCGCAACGAAAGATTTTATTGTGAAAGAGGCGTGGGTTGGGTTGAAAAAATTGGGTATGCTTCTTAACAAGGCTACCGAGAGAGATCACTCTAGATGATGACGACAGGGTTCAGCTTAGGTCCCGCAACGAAAGATTTGATTTGTGACAGGGCCCGTGGGCCGAAAAAATGGGACCGTTCTCTTTACAAGGCGATCTAGAGACCATTCTAATGACATACCCATATTACTATTAGTTGACTGAAACCTTATATACCTTTTTCATGACACCTTTGACACCTTAATTAACCCAATCCAAACCCTCCCACCCCTTCTCCATACCACATACACATCCCGATCTTGGTTCTCCCACCACACACACATCCCCCCACCTTGACGAATAAGGAAATGGGGGTCCCGAACAAACAGAATATTTGACTGCGTGAACTTTCCGCGGTAAACATGGACTCCTAACAGCTTTAGAGTGTAAATATAATTATGTTTACTTTGTTTGGTGACAAAGCTATTTTCGTTGCTTTTAAGGGTATAATAACGCGGGTGGAGCCGTGGGCTTTGATTTGGTTGTGGGGATTCGATTTTGGATGACTTTTGGGTTGGGTTTGGTTGCGGTGTTTGGGTTGAGGGTAGGTTGGGTTGGTGTTTATGTTTTTTGGGTTGGGAGGGTTAGGTTGATCTTTATATATTTTTAGCAGAGTTACGGCTAGTCGATCATCGTGTTTTTTAGTTAAGGTCGGTTAATTTGATGGTTATGTTTTTTGTGAAAGGTAGGTTGAGTTGATCTTTATGTTTTCCTGGTTTGGGTAGGTTAGGTTGATCTAAATGCTTCCTTGGCTTAGGGTAGGGTAAGTCAATCTTCATATTACTTGGTTAAAGGTAGGTTCGGCTGATTGTTAACGTTTTGTTGTTCAAAGGGTAGTTTAGGTCTCCATGTTTTTTGGTTAACCTAGGTCACTGTCGACTAAATCCTTGAGATTTCATTGTGAAACGGAAGTGATTTTTTATAGCTAGCACGCTTTATAGGTTTGATAGAGAGTGATATTAGGCAGGTATGACAAGGTTAAGGTTTTATTTGGTAAGGTAACGTAGGTAGGATAAGATTAGGACAAGGTCTTAGTAAAGCAGCAAAGGGCTTGGATGAAAATTTGGTGGGACGCTTCTAAGGGTAGAGTAGAGTAGGGTAGGGTAGGGTAGGGAAAGGCAAGGCAGGATAAGGTTGAGTATTCAATACATTTTCAAAAATCTTACATTTTACTTGATATATGATATTGATTACTAACGCTTTGTTCAGTTAGGCTGCAAATATTACTTCTGTTACAAGTTTTACCGAACTACCATTGAACTTTTCAACTTACCTATCAACCTCAATATATTTTGTTTTTTACTCCAGTTTAACCGTCGTATTCGCAGTCCTCCGTACGACAGTAGACTTAAAATTACGCCGGTGTTAAGTCTATGTAAATACGGTCTTGTTACCTCATTAGAATTGAGAAAATCGGCCCTACGGGAAAACGATCGTTGAGAAATCGACCGCATTGAGAAAGTTAAACGCTGTGTTCCATTTTATTCACTACAACAACTTCCCCTTCGACTTTTGCGGATTTTGCGATTCAGTCAACCGCCAAAGAACCCCATGAACAGTCGGCTACAGGTGCATCGTCGGGGTGCGTCTATTTTTGTAGTTGGGAAGGGTTTTTGGGGGTTGAGTGGAGGGACGCCGGAGGGGACGGGGGGGTAGAGAAAGCATTTTTAGTGTTGGCAGAGATCATTTTAAGGGTTGGGAGAGAGAGGGCTAAGAGTGATATAGTGGAGAGCAGGGAAATCGGTAGAGAGCGGGAGGAGGCAGAGGTGAGGGTAGGGCGTAGTAAATAGGAGTAAAATAGGGGTGGATCTGTATTTCAAAAGCAATTTCAAAGAAAATTTTACAGGCGGGTACCGGTACGTAAAAAAATTTTTTTTATTTAAAAAAATTAATGGTTTTTAGAATCTTTTTTTTTATTTCGAAGACAAAATTAGAAAATAGTGCACAGATGGCTAGTTACCTTTAAAATAAAAAAATTTTTTTTTGGTTTTTACTTCTCTCCCTCTCTACTTTCTCTAGAAAAAAATCTATAGAGACGTCTCTGAGTGGAGGGTAGAGTAAGAAGGATGTAGAGAAAAAGAAGTGGCAAAAGAAATGACAAGGTTGGTTCAAAATTTATTTCAAAAAATTTTTTTTTATAAAAAAAATTAAAAAAAATTTTTTTCACTCAACTCTTCCTTCTAAAACCTTTCAAAATCAAACCTCAAAACAAGATTGAAAACACTGTAGTAAAAGTAGGAACGATAAAAATAACATTGCGAAGTAACAGGAGGGGTCGATTTCGGTAGGAACGAAAAATTCAGAGATTTTTTTTCGCTTTTCTCGCAAAACTTTTCCACCTGAATTATCTTCTCAACAGGTTTTTTGTGACAAAACTGTTTGTCATAGACACATGGTAAAATAAATCCTTGGGATTTTGTGGAAATGTGGAACGGAAGCGATGTTTTATAGCTAGCACACTTTACAGGCTCGCTAGATTTCGAGGTTGGGTAAAGGTGGTGGGGTTTGGGTTTGTTGAAGGTAGAGTGAGGTTTTGGTGGCATAGGATAGTATAGAGCAAGGTGGTGGGATTTGGAGTTGGGTAAGTGGGATAAGGTTTTGATAGGATAGGATAAAGGTGGCGGGGTTTGAAATTGGAGGTAGGAAAATGTAGAGTAAGGGCTGGGTATTGAACGAAAGGCGAGATGGGGAAAGATAAGGTAGAGCAGCATATGGCCGAGTAGGTCTGAAGAGGTCAGGGTAGTGTAGGATAGGATAGGCCAAGTCAAATCAGTTTAGAGTAAGGTAGGATACGGTAGGGCGCAGTAAGATAGGGTGATTTGGGGAGGGGGTAAGGTAAGGTTAGAGTATGATAAGTTATTGTTGGGTAGAGCAAGTTAGGGTACAGTAGGGTGGGGTATGATAAGGTAGAGTAGAGTAGGGTAAAGTAATATAGAATAGAGTAGGGTAAGGTAGGGTAAGGTAGGGTAGGGTAGGGTAGAGTAGGGTAGGGTAGGGTAGGGTAGGGTAGGGTAGGGTAGGGTAGGGTAGGGTAGGGTAGGGTAGGGTAGGGTAGGGTAGGGTAGGGTAGGGTAGGGCATGGTAGGGTAGGGTAGGGTAGAGTGGGGTAAAGTAGAGTAGTATAGGATACTGTAGAGTAGGGTATGAACTTCTCAACGCCTATAACCGAAAACCCAGTCCTCTGCCATTCTCAGCATTAACCCAGAAAAGCGATAACCTGTAGCGCGTTTGTCAAATCTCTATACATGTATGAGTCATCCAGGCAGTCTCTAAACAGTAGTTAAGTAAAAGGTAATAGTCGAAGCAAAAACCCCCCTATTATAGTCATTCATACATGACCAGCGCTTCCACATACGATTCGTTTTACTGTTTTACTTTTGTTTGGTATTGGAGATGACTATCAATTGTTGTGTCGAATTTTGTATGAGGGGGTGTTTTCCAAAAAAAATTTTGGAGGTGAGTAGGAGAGTGGGGTGGGTAGGGTAGGGTTGTAAAAGTAAGTTTTTAAGTTTAAATCTGGGATGGTATGTCAATTCTTTTTGTAATTTTTTGGCAGGGTTAACCCTTCCCCTTCCTTAAGTTTTGCTTACAAAAGTACACCGTATACCTCCCCCACCCTTTTAAAATTAAAAAAAAATTTAAAAACAGTTTGTTCAGTTACTTTTTTTCAATTTACGTTTTTCTGCACTTTTTTGAGTCGTATGTTCCCCCATGGAGTGGGTTTCAAGTGCGCGAGAACGGGGGGTGCTTTTGACCTGAAGGTGGTGCTCAAGAGGCTTTGCGATCACAACAATCCTTTAGCAAGAAACGAATACGAAAAAACAGTGAAAAATAACCTGTCTTCCCTCCAACCGTCCTTCTGGCTGTTTATTTCCGCGTTTATCTTTGGGAGGTGATCGATCCGATAGGGTTTTATGGGAGATGAGGGGAGGGTACATTGGAAGGGATGGAGAAGGGTCTGGGGCAGGGATAGGGACAAAAGTAGGAGAAGAGTAACGTGTTTTTAATGTTTATTTTTGGCTGAGCAAGTAAAATTAGGGCAGGGTAATTTTTTATTTTTAAGGGGGGGGGGTGGTCAAAATTTTTTTTTATTTTTTTTTTGATTTTTATCGTATTTTTATTTTTTTATAACTGTTAATACAATTATATTTTAAAGAATTTGCGTGTAACACCCATTCGATATGTATCTACCCCTACTACAATATAATTACGATTTATGCGCCCAAACCAAAAATTCATTTAAAATTTCAAAACTTTTAATTTCAGTTTTCTAAACCACCTCATCCAACCAAAAATGAAGGTGTTTACAGTGGGCATGGACCAGAAGCCCCCAATCGAAAAATCCCCCGAAACCCCACCACCCAGCTACACCATGCCACCATTGCCAATGGGCCCCGAGCTAGCGCAGCCAATCATCGTACGCAAGTCGCGCGGCTACAAAGGCATCATGTTGGTAATGCTGGGCGTGTTCCTGATGGCCGTATTTGCTTTGGTCCTAAATGAAATGGCATACAACCGCCAACGTGACGAGAACTTCTTCAGACTACAGTGGGCTCAGATGCGTCATCGTATGGGGTATCCGCGCGAGTTCGGCGAACAAATCGTCCCGGAAGTGCATGGGCCGCAGATGCTTCAACGGAAACCCGAAACCACCACTCCGTCGGTGCGCGAGGACAAGTTTTTGGTCGATAATGAGTTGGACAGTTCGGTCGAGCAGAAAGAGCCCGAACGTGACGTTCGACTTCAGTTCTTGAAGTCGATTCTTCAGAAGATTAAACAGAATGCTGAAGACATGGGTCTACAAGGCACCATGCAGGTATCGGTAGTTGAGGTGGAGCCTCAGCAGCTTCCATCGTTCTTGAACAAGCTCAAGCAACAAGAGAACGAGAAGAAGTACGGTCCATCGGCCGACCCCAACTCGGATGCCTTCCTTGACAGCTTTGGCGAGTTCCACGCCCCAAACCCATTCAACGGTCAGCCAATGCACCCAAAGCCATTCGCCTGGTCCAACGATGAGCCAATCTTCCATCCCGAGCCGGAAATGTTCCGCCCACCCCCGATCCCAGAATGGGCCCTCCAGCGGCCGGAACTCGAACCTGAATTCCGCCATGAGTTCGGAAAGTCGAGTGAAGTTAACCCTCAAGAAGTGATGGGTGAGATGTACGGTCGTCGTTTCGGCCGAATCTTGCAAGACCTGATCGCTGCTCGTCTTCAGAACAGACTGATCCAAGCCCAACAACAGGAAGCCATCATGAACCGCCCCTCCTTCCCAATCGAGCCACAACAAAGCTGGTGGGAGCCGGCGCAACAAGTTGCCGAGCAACCAAAAGTTGAAGTGCCACAATGGCCACACCCTCAGTTCCAGCAATTCCAAAGCAACCACATTCTTGAGCAACAACCTCAAGGTTTCCAGCCAGCTCAAGGCTTCCAACCTCAACAACCTCAAGAGTTCATGAAGCCACAAGACTTCCTAACTCAACCTCAACAACCTCAGGGTTTCCAAGCCTTTGCTGGTCAAGAACAACCTCAAGGCTTTGTCAGTCAACCACAACAACCTCGAGGCTTTGAGCACCTACCACAGTTCAATGTGGAACAACAGGTTCAGCAACAAGCCCAACAAGCTCAACAAGTCCTCCAACCCGAACGTCCCGTCCAGCCACCACGAACCCAGAGCTCACAAGAGTCGGCCGAAGGACAACCACCAGCTATCCAACCACCTCGAGTTGAGGCTCAACAAACTCAACAGTTCCCAACTGTTCAGCCAAACCAACAGTTCCCACAGCCTAGCCAGCAGTTTCCTGTGAGTGGGGGTATAAGAATTTAGGGTAGGGTAAAAAAAAAGCGGGAGATTTGATATTTGAATTTTTTTTTAATTTTAAAGGTTTAAAGAAAAAAAATTTAAATTAAAAAAAAATTTTTTTTAATATGCAAATTTCAATTTTCAGGTTTTTTTTTCCATCCGAAGAAAGAGCTCCCCAATGGCAACAAGAGCAACACGCCGGACCTCAGCCAGTCTTCGAAAACAAACCAGCTCCAGCCGGTTGGACTCACCAAGCCGAAAGCGAGGTAGGTTGATCGAATTAGATTTCTCACACGAATTTGTAGTACTAACATGCACATTAGCACTGGGAGAAAAATTGAGAAAAAAATTGAATTTTGGTACTATACAGCACGTTGGTACTGAATAGTACGTTTGTACAAAAATGAATTTTAAAATTTAATTTTGATTTAATATTAAATAGGAATGTACTAAAAAGTTTTTTGGTACTAAATAGCACGTTGGTACTAAACAGCACGTTGGTAAAAATAGTACGTCGGCACAAAAATTCAATTTAACTCAAAAGTTCAATTTTATACTAAATTTCACTTTAGTACTAATATGAATTTTGATGCTAAATAGCACGTCAGTACTGAAATTCTTACTAGTACTAAATAGCACAATAGCACCTAAATAAAAATACGCACTAAACTATATACAACAACATTATATATTATACTATAACACTATCTATCATAACACCAAGATAAAAAATAGTATCATCAGTACTAGTAGATGAGCATCATCAGTACTAGTAATTGAGTATCGCTTAGTACTAGTAGATTAAATCTTATGCACAGCACGATTAACCAAGAATTTTTTCACTGCACGATACTATAAAATACAGTATTCTTGATCTAAAGTCAGTACCATCCTTCAGCCCGCTTCCAAAGTAGTAGATGGTGAAGTTGAAAAGAAGGACCAACACCTACCTCACGTCCTAGTTTTGCCAAAGCCCGCCCCAGTAGATGCCCAACCCCTTCACGAGGACTCGGCCTCATCTCAACTGGCTGATCTGCCATTCAAAGAGCTACAAGGCGAGTTGGCAGCGGCCGCCGCGGCCCTGGCTCAACAACAAGAAGCCATTGAGCGAGACGCTGAGACTCAAGCCTTCCTACAGGCCAAAGAGGACTCAACTGAAGTCAAGGATAATGAGGATGACCGGAAGGTCGAAGACGTGCAACGACCAGTCGAACCGGCCGCCATTCAGTCGGAACAACAGAATGAGGAGCCTGTGAGTTCGGAACAGGTGCGCGGTGTAATACTTGATAATATTTGAAAAAATGGGAAAATTTGAATATTACAGTATACTTACAGTAATGAAAAAAAAAATTGAAAAGTGCAAAAATAGACAAAAAATACAGTACTGGTCATAGGTAGATAGCGTAGACCTGAAAGGTGATTCACATAGATAGATCTGAAAGGTGGTCTATTAGATATGGCTAGGCCGACAAAAGAGCTTAAAAGACACCGGGCTGGTACATGTGAGCCTAAGGGTCCGGCTTAAATCCAAAAAGCTATAAATGGCAAGAACTTTCTTTACAATGGGAAAAATGGCAAGAACTTTTTTTACAAAACAGAAAATGGCAAGAACTTTCTTTACAAAGTATAAAATTGCAAGAAATTTCTTTAAAATACAAAAAATGGCAAGAACTTTTTTTACAAAACACAAAAATAAATTTTTATTTCTAGGTCGACTTCCCAGCGGTGAAATTCCCTCACGAGCCGCTGGCTTTCGAGCCTCATGCTGATGCTGAGCCCCACATCTTCTTCCAAGTAGATGAACCACAACCATCAATTGGTGCTGGTCACGTTTAATCGGTTCTATTCTACTTAATAATTCCAGCATTTCTACATATTTTCTACTTTTTGGGTTACTGTAATGTGAGGTGTACTGTAGGGTAAGGTTTTTGGTATCTTGGGTACGGTGGGTCAATTAGGTTGGTATTGTTAAGTGATGTAGGTATTCAAAAATGTAGTACAGTTTAGTGGTACTGTATTTTTTGATAGTAAAGTACTAATTGATAGTACTGTACTGCATCATATAGTATCATTTGATAGTACTTTACTATCAAATAGTACTGTACCGCTGAACAGTACGGTACTTCGTGTTAGTACTATACTATATAAAAGTACCGCACCACTTATAGTACTGTTAAGTACACTATTTTTACATAACATATCATTACAGTACTATCTAAAACCTACAGTACCAGTATCAAAACTATTATCCTACAGTACCAAATATTACAGTACCCACGCCTCCTTTTGTTTTCAGCAACTAGCTACTTCCTTTTGTATTTACACTTCGCATATACTTAAATTCCAATAAGATATATCAGAATACCTATCGCGTACTCGTCGTTACAGAGTGGGCGATCCATATCACACTAGACTGTTAATATGTCTACGCGGGCATAATATTTGTAGATCATGTTTTAATATTCACCATGTTAACAATAAACTTGTATATAGTTGGTATTGGCAGTTTGTGATAAGCTATCAAAGTTATAAAAGCTTTAAAAAGTCTTGTCGTTTTTGACAATTAAAGCTAATGTAAAATGACGACAAAACTTTTTTTAGTTAAGAAATGTGTGCCCCAGCCTAGAGCCCTAGCCTAGCACCCCATCCCAGAGCCCTAGCCCAGAGCCCTAGCCAAGAGCCCTAGTCCAGAGCCCTAGCCCGGAGCCCAAGCCCAGAGCCTTAGCCCAGCACCCCAGCCCAGCACCCCAGCCCAGAGCCCTGGCCCAGAGCCCTAGCCCAGAGCCCTAGCCCAGAGCCCTAGCCCAGCACCCCAGCCCAGCACCCCAGCCCAGAGCTCTAGCCCAGAGCCCTAGCACAGAGCCCTAGGCCCAGAGCCCTAGCTCAAAGTCTTAGCTTAGAGATATTGCTTCTAGTCCTGAGTTCTAGCTTCAGCTTTAGCACAAAGTCATAACTGAGGACTTTAGTCTAAGGTCGTAGCCTAGAGACCTGGCTCTAGTACTAGTCTTACTTGCAGCTTTAGCTTTAGTCTCAGCCCTGAACTTTAGCCCAGAGATCTGCTTTAGTCATAACTAATTCTTGCTTCAGTTTTAGCTTTAGCCGTAGCCTAGCCGTAAGCGTAGCTTCAGCCAAATATATATAGCCTTATTCCCGGCTTTACCTAGCCATATTGCTGCTTTTAGCCCCAGCTCAGAGCCCGAGCTCATAGACCTAGCTGTATTTCTAGCTGTACCTCTAGTCCAGCCCTTTTTCTCTATCTATTACCTTTTAAACTAAAATTGCTGGCCCGGCGTTACTTGTAACCTCAAAGTTTTGTGTATATTTAACAGTTGTGAACAAAGTTTTACAAACTTCGAAAACTCACGTAGAAATTCATTTCTTTTGTCGACGCTGTAGAGACTTGTTGTGGTAGATAAGAGGCTTGTCTTACAATAGAATTACAATAAAAAACAAGATTATCAGCCGAGGTTTTTACTTTTAAAGCAAAGCGCATTTTCAACACAGAGTAAGCGTTGACAATATTGCCATTTCTATTTTGAATAATGAAATTTGATATTTTGTCTGTATTTATATTACTGTACTGCACTGCCCTTTGCAATGTTAACGGGTTTCCTTACGACTTTAGCTACAATGCTAGGTAAGTTACAAGTCAAAAATGGCAAGGACTTCCTTTACAAAACAAAAAACGGCAAGAACTTTCTTTAAAAAACATAAAATGGCAAGAACTTTCTTTACAAAAGAAAAAATGGCAAGAACTTTCTTTACAAATCAAAAATGGCAAGAACTTTCTTTACAAACCAAAAATGGCAAGAACTTTCTTTACAGGTCAAAAAAATCATTTTAAATTGATTGATGTTTCAGGAATTGGGCGTTAGCTACGCCAGTGATGAGTCCATTCCCAATGAGCCCAGTCAATAGTCGTGCCCCGACTTGGTCGTTCTTGTACAACAATTATGTTAATGATGAGCGGTATATCAACGTGTAGAATTTTATTTTAGTACAATAAACTTTGTCATATAGTTTTGTTTTTACTCCGTCAAAATTTTCCTACCCTACCCTACAGCTTACTATATCATGTTTTAATTTACAATGAGTTACTGTACGCTTTTTATTTTACATTACTGGGGATTGTTACGTTAGTTAACTATAACACGTCGCTAACAAATTACAGTATAAAAAACGTAAAGTGAGTTTAAATTTAGTTCATTTCGGGTCCAAATGAACTAAACTTTTAAAGTAATTTAAAATAGTGTATAATTTAATGTTATAATTAAACACGTACCACAGAGTGTAAAGTCATCTATAATGTTTAAATCCGTGTGAACTTGATGTCACTCGAAAGTTCATGTAAATTTTAAAATAAATTTTTGTTGTATGCCATTTTTAAGCCATTACAATATTGTAAGGCGTTTAAAAATTGATTTTTCAATATTGTAAGAAAAGTTACAGTCACTCTTATACGGTAAAACGTTTTTACCTCTTTACCTAAGCTTACCCTATCCTAACTAACTTTACTCTACTCTATTTTACGCCTTACATATTATTCACAACGCGTTATATAACCATTTATTTACGTTGCATAACATTATTATTTACCTTTATAACAAGATAGCCTTAGAGAAATTGCAAGAAATTGTGTTGCGCAACTTTTTCTTATGTAACATTGTGGTTTTATATAATACTTGTCTCGGTGTAAAACGACCCAACAAATTACTGCGAGTATGGCACTCTAACTCCACCCCCAGAAAAAAATTTTTGAAAAAAGTTGAACGTGGTCCCCCCTGTGGATTTTCGGAAAAAAAATTTCGCAAAAAATCGGCACAAAGCTTCCTGCCGATTTTTTGGGACCCCCCCCTCGAACCAAAAGTCCCCGCCCGGCCCTAGTTATGTTTATCCAAAACCTTAGCTTAACCATAAGCCGAATCCTTCGTAAGCCTAATTTCACTTTTCGATTTAAGAATGGGCTCACCATATTAAAAAAAGTAAAACAAATGTCATAGTTTGGTAAATAGCTTTATTTAATCTCTTGTTAATATATTATGAACCAAAATTTACAAAATAATGTAAAATCACAGCATGATAAAAAAAACCGTAAAGCTATTAGAGATACTTATATATAATAGTGCAATGTGAAATTAAAATGATATGACATAAAATCAGCATAGTATAATGATTTGTATTTAAAAACAATAGTAACAATGAAATATTAAGTTTAGTTTTGTTGATATAATAAATGATGAGGTAGAGATAAAAAACGTTATTGTTGACAACAGTAAGCATAATCAGTTCTTTTAAGATCTGTTTTTGTAAAAAAGTGCTATAATATATAATAATATTAAGATGTTAAAATGATTCTGTGCCCCTTTTCTCATAAAAAAATAAGATTCAGGAGCACATATTTATTTAAACAACAATACCGACATATGTAAATATCACTCAGCCTAAGCCTAAGTCCAAGACAATGCCTAAGCCTAAGCCTAAGCCTAAGACTAAGCCTAAGCCTAAGCCTAAGCCTAAGCCTAAGCCTAAGCCTAAGCCTAAGCCTAAGCCTAAGCCTAAGCCTAAGCCTAAGACTAAGCCTAAGCCTAAGCCTAAGCCTAAGACTAACACTAAGCTTAAGCCTGAGCCTAAACCTAAGCCTAAGTCTAAGCCTAAGCCTAAGCCTCCGGGACTAAATATATAAAACTTATTTTAAATTGTAAACAAAAAAAATAAGATGACATTTAAAAAAAAAACACTTTGTAGTAATGTTGTGCGTAAACTTATTATAAGGTAATTACAGCTACGTCTACACGTTGTTAAGGCAAATCCATGGAAAATGTTACGTTACACCTAATTGACCACACAGTTGTAAGTGTGAGTTACAGCTTCTTATGTGGGCATGGCATGGATGTGAAGAAGCACATCGGATGACGCATTTTTCGCTTGTTTGTCATACTGTGTCTGCGTTGCATGTGGCGATTCTGCAAAGTAAAATTTGTAAGCATAAAGTAGGGTAAGGTAAAGTAAAGTAAAAAAAATAAAGATAAAGTACAGTAAGGTGCATTAGGGTGAAGTACTATATGTAACAATGAAGTAAAGAAAAGTACGGTAGAGTGTGGTAGAGTACGATAGAAAAGGATACTGTAAGGGGTAGGGTAGGGTAGGGTATTTTCTTTTCAACCTACCGTTTGCCTTTGAATCAAGTCTTCATATACTGGCGTTAGTAACATATCACTATGTTTTACTGGCTCTATCACTTGTAATGAAGCTGGCCAACTATTGACTGGTCGGAAAATTCGCTGCCGGGTCGGAGGCATGCTGTAAATCGTACTGATGGTAAAAAGGTGTAGTAGTAAAAGATATTTCATTGAAGGCATCTAAAAAATGAAGAACTTGATGATATATTACTGCATATAAGACAAGTTTACTGTGTCACGCTAGTGTGAAAACAAAAAGAATATAGCACGGTACAGAGCACCGTACTATAACGTCTCTATTACAAATAAAGAACAATATATATCTTAGTAGTCTCCGGCCCAACGGCCAAAAAGGCTAAGATACGAAGTATAAAAGCCATGTTTTGAAAGAAGAATAAGAGCATTATGTAACTTATACAGCACGATACTATCCTTATATAGTACTGTATTTCTGACTTAAATCTTATCCTATTAAAACAAGCTTCTAGATACACACAGTTACTTTGTTTTATAGTAAAATATGTGTCACGTAAGTTTGTAATAACACATACACGTGTAAGTTAAATTTGTTTTAGTACTATATACTATGGGAATATTGTGAATAAACAAAGCAATTACAACTACAAGGATTCATATCATCTAATTGTAATTGCTATGTTTGCTAACTATAATTTACGGCAATTATATGCTTATTTAAAGATATCGAAGAACAAATTTTGCAAAAACAGCTTTTTCCTTAGGCTGCTATATATTATACATACAGTAGACTAAACTCAAAAAAAACTACAGTAAGTCAAAACTAGATTGCGATTGGCGTAAGAATACTAAAAGGCTAGGGTATGGCTAGGTATATTTAAGAAATGAGTAAAATAGATGCCAGGTTGGGCTAAGAAAAGCTAGCGCAGAGCCGGGATAGGCCTAAGGTAGGTCAAGGGTTTTGCTGGGGTAATGCTAAGGCCGGGTTGAGGTAGAGCAAAGGAAAAATTAGGATAAATATAAGATAAGGGAAGGGTTTGGGTAGAACAAAAGTAATGCTAAGGCAAGGATGAGATAGAGGCTATGATTAAACTAAGGTAAGGCCAAGGCTAGGGAAAAACTAACTAGGTAAGGCAAGGCAAAAGTAAGCCTAGAATAAGGGCTAGGCTACAACTAAGGTAAGGCTAGAACAGAACTAGAGCTAGTTAATGTAAGCAAAAGTAAGACTACAATAGATGCTAGGCTGAGATAAGGGTTAGAGCTAGAACAGGGCTAGAGTAGGGCTAACGTAGAGCTAAAGTAAAGCTAAGAATAGGCAATACTAGGCTAAGATAAAGCAATTAATACAGTTTAAAACTAAAAAAATTGTAACACATTTTTAAAATTCCGTTTTTTTACAAAAAAAATTTTCAATTTTAAAAATTTCTGTTTCACAATACCCCCCCCCCCCCAACCTCCACAATTGAGCATTAAAGCACCTGAATGCAAATCCCATTTCAAATATAGATTAAAAGTATCATTGCTTTAAAGCCATTGTGCCTTAATCCACGCCTCTTTCCAAATTTGGCCTAAGGCGATTTAATTAAAAATGGGCGGAGCTTCAGCGATTACGGTAAAACAATTACTACGCATTCGTAAAAAAGTAATGAATTGTAAACAATAGTCACTTTAGCTATATTTTAGAAAATAATATAATTAATGTACTTAGTTTGAGTAGTAAAAAAGGTGTGTTGACTATACTTTACTACAGTAAATAGTACTATAGGTAATAGGCGTATAGGTTGTTTTTTTGTAATTAAATTTTCAAAGATGAATATTTTTTGATCAATTTGAAAAAGCATTTTAAGTTCACTTTTATAGTGTAATGACCACAGTAAACCCGCGTTACAGTAAAATCAGATTTATGAAAATATAATCAAGTCCCACCACGAATACCTTAAAAATCAAGATAAAGTTAAAAATTGCAATCAATATTCAAAAAAGAATGCTAACAATATGGCAAAAAATAGGCTTAGAAGTTTCAATTCCGGTCTTATTCAAGTTTTTGGGTCTTCACACGAAAACTCTGAAAATCAGGATAAAAAGTCGCAACTGAAGTTAATATGTGTTGTGATAAAGGTACGGCTGTAAATAAACACTGTTGTAAATATAAACATAAAAAATTACTTTAATGATAACTTTTAATTTATGAAAGTTCTGGGTCCCACCACGAAAATCCTGAAATTTAAATAAAATATTTAACCGTTGATCTCCAGTATATACAATACAGAATACAACTTATATAATTTGAAAATAGAGTTTGATGAAAAATTTTGGTCTCACTCACTTTTTTAGATCCCAGCACGAAAACCCTGAAAATCAGAACAAACTTTTGAAAAGATTTTTAAAAGCGGTCAGCGCCCTACCCTACCCTACCCTATCCTACTCTACCCTACCCTACCCTACCCTACCCTACCCTACCCTACCCTACCCTACCCTACCCTACCCTACCCTACCCTACCCTACCCTACCCTACCCTACCCTACCCTACCCTACCCTACCCTACCCTACCCTACCCTACCCTACCCTACCCTACCCTTCCCTACCCTACCCTACCCTACCCTACCCAACCCTACCCTACCCTATCCTAAATTACGAAGAACTCAAAGACTAACAGTAGGTTGGAACAGTAATTGCATTTACAGTACGGTATCTAAAGCTATTGTCGGGAGCATTCAGTACATTCCAAATCTGCTTATGTTATGTTGAAATGTCCAGACATTTGCACCAAACTCTAATGATAAGCTTTGAGCTTGCAATTGTTTCTGCACCAAAGTGCACTCGTTCTCTGACCAGCTGAGCCGATTGTAAATTCCAATATGATGCGATTAATGTAAAGGAAGTGCAGGCGAAACAATTTTACAAATTTGGGCTTTAAATGTTTGATTGTACCACTTGGAGTGTTTTTAGGACAAGGTACGTTAGGAAATCACGTTTGAAGTGAACTTTCTGGTTTTTGATTTTTAAGTCTTTAAGGCTAATATAAGATAGTGCCAATTAGGTTAAATTAAAATTGAGTGGAGTTTAGGAAATGGTACGTTAGGACAAAATAGGATAGGTAAGGTAAAGCAAGTTAGGGTAGTTTAGGGCATAATGAGTTAGAACAAAACATAATAGAGGGGGGGAGGAAGAGGAGAGTCAGGTACAAGAAACAAAAAGGTAGTTTAAAGCATGGCATGTTGGACAGAGTAGGGTGAGGTAAAGTGAAGTACGATATGGTAGTTTAGGGCAGGGTAGGGTAAGACATGGCATGGTAGGATTGGGTACGGTAAAGTAGAGTAGGGTAGTGTAGGGTAGGGCAAGATAGGGTAGAACATGGTAGGCGAAAGTAACGTAGCGTAAAGTTATGCTAGGCAAGGCAACGGCAAGGCAACGGCAAGGCAACGGCAAGGCAACGGCAAGGCAACGGCAAGGCAACGGCAAGGCAACGGCAAGGCAACGGCAAGGCAACGGCAAGGCAACGGCAAGGCAACGGCAAGGCAACGGCAAGGCAACGGCAAGGCAACGGCAAGGCAACGGCAAGGCAACGGCAAGGCAACGGCAAGGCAACGGCAAGGCAACGGCAAGGCAACGGCAAGGCAACGGCAAGGCAACGGCTAGGCAACGGCAAGGCAACGGCAAGGCAACGGCAAGGCCTTATAAAAACTTTATTAAATATATGTTATACTTTGTCATTTTCTTTGAATTTGCGTAAATTTCAATATTATAGCATCACTATTATAACAGTGAATGTTTAAACTCTTACACTTCAAAGGTTAATATGCTATGAAACATACGAATTTCGTGATAGTACACTGTACACTTCTTACCCTGATTTAATAATGATATCAATTTGAGCTGGTTTAAACTTAAAATTAATACTTTAAAAGCTACATTACAAAACGTAAGATCAAGTAAAGCAGTGTAGGAAAGAGCAAAGTTAAGTAGAGAACTGATAATTCTAATAGCATAATGCTACTAAATTATATTGTACTCACCCACAAAATAGTGATGCGGTAAACCGTGAAAATTCGGAGGAGGCCCAACTATGTGAAACAACATAAACTAAGGATAGCACCGGTGGACGAACGAGGAAAACTAGATCAATCCAGGAACATACACACAGTACGTCAATGCAATCGTCGACATCAGCAACATATAATCAAACCTATATCTACATTCCACGGACCATAAATTGTAATTGTAAGAGCGTAGAAACTTTTTATATGTTAATATACCTTTAAAACTAATTGACCGTACTTCATTGCACAAAATAAGCAAAAAATGTTACAAAACATTGGATTAACTGAAAGTTTTTTTGCACTCTAAGGCTCAAAATCCCTTTTGACACAGCGGAAATTAAGTATTGTACTGAAACAGTTTATAATCAATCATTTTGAAATGTCCAGCAAATTTAATTTTAATGGTCCGTGACGCACGGTGTACGTACTATAATCAGCTTAACAGTACGTAGCGGATTCTGACGCTCCGATACGGGGTTTCAGCCGTAAAAATAAATTTGGACAGTTTCTGGTTTGGTATTTACATGATTATTAATAGATACTTGTAAATATCTGTCGCAGCGCGTGGCAACTGGCATACCACGGTGCGATACAAAGACTGGGAAAAAAAATGCTTATCTCCGACGGGCGTCGAACCCGTAACCTCTCGCTTACCGGGCGATTGCTCCACCATTTGAGCTACAAAAGAGCCATTATTCCTTCCGATCATAGAGGAGTGAATCCGGGGCCCTCTTGGCCCCCTCGCCTCCCCCTACAAGATGATTCACTCCGTCTCAATACCCTCGCTACACTGACGTCGCGACAATAACCAGGAAAAATTTTTTAATTTTTAAAAATGAATTAGGGGGTTTTTTACTCTGCCCTGCCATACCAAGACAATCTGCAGTAATATGTTTTTACGCGTTGGTAGCGCAGTGGCTGTGGCGCCGCTCGGTATTCGGAAGGACCTTCGTTTGACCCCGCGCCCCGAACAACTCAAGCGCTTTGAGGAATGGCTAGTGAGTGCACGGGGACTACGCACATAGATCGTGCTGAGTGCACGGGGACTAAGCACATCTATTCTTGACCTACACGAGTATATGATTGAACACCAGAAGCCTTATAGAACACCTCACTCTCAGTGACGCGAGGACAATGAACTAACTAGGAAGAGGCCCAATTATGAAAAACGGCAAATTCAAGGATAGCTCCGTTAGTCTTCATCTAAACCTTGAACATCCTTGCACATCAACACAGAACGTTACAATCTCGGATGAGGGTTCCGAATACACGATAAGGGAAGGCCGAGATATACCAGTCAACACTATTTACTAAACAATACGCGATAAAATAAGATATATATGTGAACCCAATAACCGAAGATACCTAACTATTACGCCCAAGCGGAGCAATATCTCGCCAAACGTGCCAACCATCGATTGTTCGTGAGAGTCCGTGTTCCTCGTCCTGAATGAGCTGTTCTTCCTCGTGGCAATCATCGACTGAGAGAGCAGGGTGCGGCGGAATGCCAAGGATCAGGCTGTTCGTGGTGGGAGAGAGTTATGCGGTGTGTGTGGTTTGATTGCTCCATTGGTCTTCATCTGGACCTTGAACATTCTTGCATATCAGCACAGTACGTGACAATCTACGACATCAGCTATAATCTAACCTATATCTCCCGAATTGTAATTGTAGACGCTTGAAAAGTAAAAAAGTTAAGCGTTTTAAAACGCATTTCGAAATTTCAAATTGCCCTTTGCAATCGAATAAATTGAAATTGTAACGCTTCAAACCATGTGACAATACGTCTTCCTGGTCGGGATTACTAACGGTTTGTTTTCAGCACGTATCTTAACATTTAAGCGCGGAACCAAAAGATTAGACTGGGAAGCTGTAAAACACATTGAGAGTGGTAACGACAATATCTGTTTACAGTGTTTTTACAGACTGTTTTCGTACAACATGTAATTGTTGTGAAATCTTTAATTTTTTACTAATTGATTACAAAAGTGCAAATTGAATTAATTGCGAAGGCAGCAAAGGCTTTGCTAATATATGGCGGAGCGTGTAGGGTATGGTAGAATATAGAAAGACAAGGAAGAGAATTATAGGGTGTGATACAGCACGACTAATAGAAGGCTAATCTAAGGTTAGGTAATTTCTAAAACTAGAGCTATGATAAGTCTAGGAGAGAGATATTGATAAAGTAAAGCTGGAATAGGGCAGATCAAGATTAAGACTAGCTATAATTAGGTCAGAGTTATAATTTACCTTACCAACCAGGGGCGTCGCTACGGTTTTTCTCTGAAATGGGGGGATCGACACTACAGGTAAATAGCTAGCAACTTGTGGTCTTCTTGGGCAAACTAATTTTTAATGAATCTCTTAGCAAGAACCATATTCAGGTTCTATTGATCGCTTCGCCTAAGCCAGTCCCATTTGTAATTGAAATTCGACCGTAAATACACCTAAATACCGGTTTTCAGAGAGATTATGATACACCTAAATACCGGTTTTCAGAAAGACTATGACAAATTGATTGCTTGGTCTCCACAGGCATCCAAGTACGGCTTGAATTTTTGTGAAGCACCTCACCACGATCCGGTAGCTTGAGAAACAGGACCAATAAGATGACAGTTAGGAACTGCTAGAACTAGAGCTGGGTGCGAGAGAGAAAAAGATACTCATTTCTTTTCAAAAAAAATTTAAAGTTAAACGCATCTCCTTTGTGGATTTTTCTTTTAAAAATCAGTTTTTTTACTAAAAAAATATTTTTAAATTATTTTCCATTGTTTATAACAACAACAAGATTTTGTTTTTAATGTTGAAAAATTTTTTAGTGCGATTTAAATATTTTCGCATCTTCAAATAAGCTTAGTAAAGATTAGCCTACGAACTTAATAGATCTTTAGTTTTTGGTTCTGTGCGGCCTTACCAGTGCCGGGCGGGGACTTTTGATTTGAGGGCGGGGGTCGAAAAATCGGCAGTTAGCTCGTGTGCCGATTTTAAAAATTTATCCCAAAAATCCACAGGGGGACCACGTTAAACTTTTTTCAAAATTTTTTTTCTGGGGGGGGGGTTTCTAACATAAACAGTAACATAGCCTTACATATTTTATCAGCTTACTAATCAATTTAATGTAAAATGAATTTCTAGCAATTAAAAGACAAAAGAAATGGAAACCTTTAAGCCTATCTTTAAGCAAGGCATAACACTTTTACAATCCGATTTACCACGCGTTTGTGCTCAACTTTGTATCAATAATTTAAGTGATTAAACTGTCACAAAGAGTATTGTAAACAGATTTGAAGAAATGTTTCTGATAAGCTGCTTACAACAAGGAGCAAAAGCAATCGTATCCTACACCGTAGTATATACGTGTAAAAAGGCCCAACTTTTTAGCCTGGTCTTTATGCCTGGCTTGGGTGTGGGCCTATGGCCTTGGTCTTATTATTTCTGTTATGGCCCAGTTCAGTTCAGCCCAGCTTAGCCCAACTTAGTACATCCAAGCAAAGCGCAACCCAACACAGTACAATTAGTCCGGCTTAGCCTACCCAAGCTTATGTTAGCCAGTCCAGTCCAGTCTAGTTCAGTCCATTCCAGTCCCGTCCAGTCCAATTCGGTCTAGTCCAGTCCAGTCCACTCCACTCCACTTTACTCCAGTACAGTTTAGTCCAGCTTAGCCTAACCCGGCTCAGCCCAGCCCAGCCCAGCCCAACCCAGCCCAGCCCAGCCCAGCCCAGCCCAGCCCAGCCCAGCCCAGCCCAGCCCAGCCCAGCCCAGCCCAGCTCAGCCCAGCCCAGCCCGGCCCAGCCCAGCCCAGCCCAGCCCAGCCCAGCCCAGCCCAGCCCAGCCCAGCCCAGCCCAGCCCAGCCCAGCCCAGCTCAGCTCAGCCCAGCCTAGCTCAGCTCAGCTTAGTCCAGTCCATTCTAGCATGACGCAATTAGCCTAGCCCAGCCCGCGACCAAGTCGGTTACTCTTCTTGTCCTTACTGTACTCTACTGCCTTACCTTACTTACTAATATACGTACGCGTACACTCACAAGATGTTTGGTATACTTCTACTACGATAAATATTTAATAAACCAAATTAAAAATTGTGTTATCAGATTCCCCCAAAGCGTGTTTTACAGCACCTTAAGCTTGTTATGTCCTAAACTAAGCCTAATCTAAAAATCCACCTGATTTGAAAAGTTTCGTTTTACGATTCAGTTAAGCTCGAATAAGATATAAGTCGTTTGGGACATGTCCTGCTTTACAATGTACAAAATATAGTATGCGTGATATATATATATATATATATATATATATATATAGATTTATGTGTGTTTAAGCATGTAAAACTAAATAAATATTAATGAAAGTTAAGTGCCATTTTGAATTAAACTGAAATTTAAAAATTCGGTTTATCTTTGAATTTTTAAATATACGTTGACTTGGATTAGACATCAAGTTTGAAAGTTTGAAGCCATATATGCTATACACTAATCCAACTATTTTATAACCCTACCCTACCTTACCCGACCCTACTCTACCCTACCCTACCCTACCCTACCCTACCCTACCCTACCCTACCCTACCCTACCCTACCCCTACCCTACCCTACCCTACCCTACCTACCCTACCTTACCCTACTCTACCCTACCCTACCCTACCCTACCCTACCCTACCCTACCCTACCCTACCCTACCCTACCCTACCCTACCCTACTCTACTCTACTCTACCCTACTCTACCCTACCCTACCCTACCTTACCCTATCCTACCCTCATCATCATACTCTAACCTTACCGTATCCTCTAGGCCACTCTATCTTACGGTGCCCTACCGTATCCTACCTTACTCTTAATTGATTTGACTTGACCTATTCTACCCTACATTACTCAGACCTCTTCGGACCTACCCGGTCATATGCTGATCTACCCTACTTTTTCCCATCTCGCTTTTCATTCTATACCCTACCCTACTTTTCCCTACATTGCCCTACCCTCGCCTTATTTAATTGCAAATTCTACCATCAAAAAAAAACTCATCCGGAGGCAAAACACTGCACTTTGCTAAACTGCAAACAACGTTATGGTAACAATGCAATAGATTTGAGTTGAACATTTTAATTAATCCTACTCAGACGCTAGAAATTGCTCAAGTAATTTAACCGCCCATGTGTTTGTTAATACTGGTATATTTATAAATGTAATAAGCCATGAATCTCTATTTATAGTTGTTTTAAGATGGATATATGTTTCTATATGTAGTATACTTAATTTGTTGCTAACGTCTTTGAGCTGAGTAAAAATAATTTTAATTAAGATAAAGGTAACGTAAAGTAAATAAAATAGAAAGGCCTTTACTTCAAGGGTAGAGTAACTTTGAAAAAAAAATAGGTAGACTAGGTCATAGTTACAAAGATAAGGTAGGAATTTGGTAAGTATAAGACAGGATAGGCCAGGATAGAATAGAGTACGCCAAGGTAGGGTAGGGTAGGGTAGGGTAGGGTAGGGTAGGGTAGGGTAGGGTAGGGTAGGGTAGGGTAGGGTAGGGTAGGGCAGGGTAGGGTAGGGTAAGGCAGAGTAGGGTAGGGTAAGGTAGACATGAAAAACGGGCCGGTCCATTTTTTTAAGCCCGGTTTTTTTGGAATTTTGCACAGGGCCGGCTTGGCCCGATGGCAGGCGCGGACCTGGCCGTATTTTTTTTACATGAAAAAAGGGCCAAGCCCGGTCCATTTTTGAAGTCCGAGCCGAGCTAAATTTTGCTCAAGGTCAGCCCTAGAATGCACATCCAACTGTTTTCTAAAAATTTTTTGTTTTTCTTACATCTGTCTAAAGTGATGATTACAAATACTTGGTTTAATTTTTTACATGGTTTAAAAGGTTTACTGCGTAAAATCAGTGTAATATAACATATACCAACAGTAATATCAACATTTATGTACATTTGCAAAAAAAATATTTTTAAATGGTAACTGATGTGATTAAAAAATTTAAAAAAAACTAATACAATTTTAAAAAAATTAAAAACAACTAACATAATCTGTGAAAGGGCATCAGTTTAAGCAATCTCTCGTTTCACCAGCAAACTTGCCATTCAAGTTGATGATCCCGATGTCAAACGTCTTTTTTGGTATCTTGCCCACGGTAATAAAGTTGTCTGGGATTTTTACTGTGAATTTTCGAAGGCATTCCTAAAATTCTTTATATGAAAAATGGCAAGAACTTTCTTTACAAAACAAAAAATGGCAAGAACTTTCTTTACAAAACAAAAAATAGCAAGAACTTTCTTTACAAGACAAAAAATAGCAAGAACTTTCTTTACAAATCAAAAAATAACAAGAACTTTCTTTACACAACGCAAAATAAGTTTTTACAACAAAATATACTCTATAATGTCACGTCGAACTGTGTCCGGTCACCCACGCTTATTAATAAATTAAAAAAAGTGTACCAACTTGGCCATAAAAAATAAAACCTAGCTTTTTTGGCCTTGAGTAATTAAGTTTTAAATTACTTTAAATATAAGTGCAATATAATACTGTTACACTTACACGCAATGCTTATTAGAGTCACCTTTGGTCCTATTAAAATAACTTTTTTGAACCGCTACCCTACTCGACCCTACCCTACCCTACCCTACCCTACCCTACCCTACCCTACCCTACCCTACCCTACCCTACCCTACCCTACCCTACCCTACCCTACCCTACCCTACCCTACCCCTACCCTACCCTACCCTACCCTACCCTACCCTACCCTACCCTACCCTACCCTACCCTACCCTACCCTACCCTACCCTACCCTACTCTACCCTACCCTACCCTACCCTACCCTACCCTACCCTACCCTACAATACCTTATATATCCTACCGTAAACTGGTGTACTTTACCTTGTCCTTCCTTACTTTAACCTACTCTACCCAACTTTACTCTACCTTATCCCACCCTACTCTTTTCCACTTTACCTTATCTAATTCCTCCCTTCCCTACCATACTTTATCCTATCCTATTCTACTTACCTTGCCTTACTATACGCTACGCTACCATGCCATACTTTATTCTATCTTGCTCTACTCTAATCTTCCTTACTTTACCTTATCCTATCCCACTCGACTCTACCGTAACCTTCTCTAACTAACCCTACCGTACTATAGACTTCAAGAAAAAAGAAATTTCAACTACAGTAATACTTACTTTGTCCTCATCGTTACAGTTGTGATAAATATTGATTTTAACATCGATTGGAGTGAATTCGGTTTCTGATCCACTGACTTTGAAGGTACCGTTTACATTACTGTACTTTGTATCCATAAGGTCATCAAGTTCACCTAAAGTTAGACTATGTATTCTACGAGTCCAATCTATCCTAGCCTAGCCCAACCAAGCTTAGCCCAGCCCAGCCCAGCTCAGCCCAACCTAGCCTAGCCTAGCCTAGCCTAGCCTAGCCTAGCCTAGCCTAGCCCAACCTAGCCTAGCCTAGCCTAGCCTAGCCTAGCCTAGCCTAGCCTAGCCCAGCCACCCCAGCCCAGCCCAGCCCAGCCCAGCCCAGCCCAGCCCAACCTAGTTTAGCTCAGCCCAGCCTAGCTCAGCCTAGCTCAGCCTAGCCCAGCCCAGCCCAGCCGGGTAGGGAGATAAGATGATAAAGAAGTTCAAAAAACAGAGGAGAAAGGGGGGGGGGAGATAAGTAACGTAATAGTAAAACTTACCAAAATCCTCATCGTACATCTTGACCTTAGCTTGAGGGTAAGGTTTTTTATTACAGAGTAGTTTCCCAATTACTGAGGCGCTTTGTACTTTACCAAGCGTTGGTAAAGCTATAGCATGGTATTCTATCATAGTAACGAAGAATACGATTAAGCACAGTAGAAATTTATACATTTTTAGAAAATTTCTAGAGTCAGGTAGTACAGTGTTCAAATTACAGTACTAGTATATACTGTAAAAATTACTGTAGATGCAACACTCTGTAACGATTACTGTAGAAAATACACTTTATGGTAACAATACAGACCCAATAGTACAAATTTGAAGTGTCAATTTAGTACCACTAGGACACTTTTAAATCACTAATACAGTACTAATAGTACCACTTTAAAGTACTAATTTAGTACCAGTAGTACAATTCAAAATCACCAATATAGTACCAATAGTACACTATTAAAGTACCAATTTAGTACGAATAGTACAATTTAAAGTTACAAACTTAGTATTAATAGTAAAAACACTAGCCAATTACTAACTAAAGCAACATCTCGTCGTATATATATACGTTAAAAGAGTGTTATTGTTTACATTTACCGCTGTAATGTTAAGCATCCCACCATGACTAACCTTGAGTTTAAAGCGCTTTTTTGATTGATAACACTGTAAAAGTCAACGATATTTGATGACATTACAACGAAACTTTGTTGAGTAATGTTTTTACAGAATAAAAGAATTTTTGTAATATTCATACGATGTCATACGTAGCCACAATGCAACCGCAGCAACCCCGAACATTCTCATGGCCTTGGGCACTGCTAAAACTAAGAAATGCGCCGTGATAGTTCCAGCTATTCAAAACTGGGGACATTACCATCGAGAAAAATGTTCATCCCTGGTACTTGACGATAGGATTCTGAAGTAAGCGGTGGAAGAATAAGTTTCAAAATGACACGAGAGCATGTCAAAGACCTTGGAGTTTGCCACACTACCAGGGCCGGGCGTTGAAAGGGGACCCCCCCCTCTTACTTCCAGAAAAAAAATTTCGAAAAAAGTTGAACGGGGTCCCTCCTGTGGATTTTTGAAAAAAATTTTTTGCAAAAAATTTATTTTTTTTACCCCCGCCCCCAGAATAAAAGTACCAGCCTCTGCACACTACCGTGTAGAATCATCTAAATCACCAAAATCAAAAACACAAGGATCATTGTCTGGTAAAATCTGCCATTTTTTTTCTCTTCAACCTAATATGTAGTACTGTTTAACTTGAAATTTAAGCTTGATCAATATTTTTTAAAAATTAAAAAAAAATTTATTCCTAACCTGCCTCACTAAGAATCAACCCAAAATTTTTATATGAATTCCTTGTGCCACTAATTGTACCCATAAAAAATTTTAGCTTTTGCTTTTGAGTTTTAAATTCCAAATATTTGAATTTTCCGCCAATTTGCAAAGTTGGCATTGTGTTTGTTCTAAGCATTTTTTTAACTTTCCAGGCAAGCTAAGCTTACAAATTTAAAAATGTAGGTCCATTTAAAGATATTCTACTAATATATTAAAGAAAAATGCTTAAAAGCCCAAAAATGGCAAAGTTATAAGCTTGAAACACAATGCCAATTTGGCGGAAAATTCAAAACATAGTTTTTTGATCTCGATTTTCTCGCGATTTACTGGAAAGCGTGATTTAGTACTTTACTGAAGATTTTATATTTACATGATCTTTCTATATGAAAAGTTTGAAGTCAATGAGAACGGGGCAGGTCGGGTACTTTTCTTGTTAAAAATTCGAATTTTTATTTTAAAATCAAAAAATTGAACTTTCATTTTGAACTATGAAATTTGAATTTTTGTTTCGAAACCAAAACTTGAACTTTGAAATTTGAATTTTCATCTTTTCACCCAGTCACTTTTGCTTTGTCTTCGTCGCCGAACGGTCGCTGGCCTCCTCGATGGAGTTCGATGCCAGTTTTCTCCTCAAAATCCTCGTGGCAAATGCGTTGCAAAAAAGGGATGGCAAGGTAATCTGTGCCAAATTCGTGAGTTTCAAGCACAATGCACAAGATACAAGCGTCACTCGAAGCATCACTCCCGTTTGTCCACATTATTCAAATAGTCCCACTACGAAGTAAGTTTTTACGGTTAGCCGGAAGCGCGACTTGAGAATATAGATTTAGATGTCATGTTAGCCTGAAATTTCTTGTTTTTTTGTTTAATTGTTAAATTTCTTGTCTCCGGATGTATTGAAACTTCCTATTAATGTATTTAAATTTTAATATTTAGAGCGTTCAAGTATGACAGAACTGATGTCGCTGATCTGCATTACGTTTTTTCCTTGAAGGACATTGACAATTTGTATGCTTATGGCAAAAATAAAAATAACGCGTAAGTTTTTTGAATTTATATACTGTGACGGATGACGATTTAAACATTGAGAAGAATCCCCTTCCTCTCATTCTGCTGTTTGCAGGTATTCTGGCCTTTTTTGAACTAATTTTTTTCAAATTTATAATAAAAATTATTGCTAATTCTTTAACTTTTTAGGTTTTATGCGTTTAACTTTAACCACGACAAGCCATTTTATAATTTCTTTGAAACAGAAAAAAAGTATTGGATGGTTGGAAACGTAGTTCTGCTACAAGGAGACAATCCTACGCTTTACTTTTTTAACGGCAAAGGTTTAGTACCCATGAACAACAACGTTAATCTTTTCTATGAAAAAGTCGTTGGAAGTACGGAGACTGGCGACCTATGGCTTCGTAAAGACAAATGCAAGAAGCTCGAAGCAAAGGAAGACAACTACAACTTGGTTGATTACGATTGCAAAGATCCCGAGCAACTGCTTTTATCACTGGTATGCGACTTTATCTTTTTATCTTATTTACTCTTCTTTTTAAAGTTATGTGACATCAGGTATAATTTTTTATTTTTTTAAAGTTTATATATATCTATACTTGTATATAGACATGTGAAATGAGCCGGGCCTTAGTGTTAGGCCGATCCGGTCAGAATTTTTTTACGTGAAAAAAGCCGGGCTTTTCTTGGCTTTTTGGGGCGTGACTTGATTTTCAGGCTTGACCATACCTAAACGTTGCACAGGCCCGGCCAGATGGTAGGCCCGGCTCGTTCTCCATGTCTACTTGATATATATATATATATGCAATATGTAAAATTGTTTAATGCTTTTAAGACACGTTATTGCAATGTTTCAAAAGCATAAATTTTGTAAATTTAATAAATTTTTGAAAATTTGAATTTCAGAGTGCACTGAAAGAAATTGGCGCCAATTTGAATAAAGACGAGGCCAGTGCGAACGACTTTGCCATATTGTATTATGAGTGAGTGGTTTGTTATCTTTTTTGTTGTACTGGTCAAATAAAAGAAGTATTTTGAAAATATTGACAACCCTTATGTAATATGATATATTGAAACTCTAGGCAAGCGTCCGCCACTATCCCACCTACTACTACAACACTAATCACCACCACTGAAACGGAAGCCCCTTCTGATGACATTGACTTATTCACCACGTCAACTTGGTGAGTTTAGACTTGGGTTGGACTGGATTTTTTCATTTTTCTAGCTTGGAGAGAAAGGGAGGAGGGTTGTAGAGTAAAAAAATTTCAATTTTGTCTTGACTATGCAAGTCATTTAGGAGAACGCCAAATACTACTGCCAAACTTGCACCAACTGCCACATGGAGTTTTTGGGGATTGGCCGTAGTAAGTTGATATTTTGTACTTTTTGTGAAAAGATGTCATGTTTCTGAATTAAAAACGTTTATTTGGCTAGTCTATACTATGTAAATAAGATAAAAATCGACTTTTTCAGTAACGACATTAATTTGAATATTTTAGTCTTATCGGAGCCATTGTTGCTTGTGTTGTGATTTTCGCAGCTGTCATTTATTGTACATTCAAATCCAAGATCAATAGAATGTGTAGAAATATGAAAATACATTGGAATGAGAGTAAAGAAAGTCGATCGAAGAAATTGGCGCTCCATAAGTTGCAAAAGAAACTTAAAGGATCTCGTAAAGACAAAAACGGGAAAACACAAAAGAAGACATCCAATAACTCCCAAGATGGAAACAGTACACCTAAAAAGGCGGAGAAACTTAGACTCTCGGGAAATTCGCAAGACAACGCATCTATTAGTTCTAATAGTCATAGCGCAGTGGAACCACAGAACCAGGAGGAGGAGAATGTTCCAACAACCAGGGCGTCGACGCCGTCAGTTCCCAATCAGGCGGCGGACTTTCCAACAGGCAGGGAGAAGACGGAACCTGGAACATCCAAGCAGGGGACGGCGCGACCTGGAACATCCAGTCAGAAGACGCAGGCAGAAACATCACAAAAAGAGCAGGCGTCGCGAGGGGAATCACGCAAGCAAGAGACGTCGGCAGCGGAATCACAGGATCAGGTGGCGCCGCAAATGGGAACACCCAAGAGTAAGAGGAACATGCCAGAAAAATCGAAGAAGAATAAATGAATCGTTTCTTTGGCAAGACGTGTTGTTGCAGTATTGTACTAATTCGGAACACTGAATAAACAATTGGCATTGTGTATTTTTCGTTTTTTTTGTTGATAGTCCTACCCTTACCTCTACCCCTACTTCTACCCCTACCCCTACCTCTACCCCTATTCCTACCCCTACCTCTGCCCTTACCCCTACACCTATCCTTAACCCTACCTTTACCCCTACTTCTACCCCTGCCCCTACCTTGACATAAGGAACAGGCCGGGCTTATTTTTCTCAGTGATTGGCCCGGGCCGATCTGAATTTTGCTCAGGCCCGGCCTGACCTAAATTTAGGTTTAATCCGGCTCGTTTTTCATGTCTACCCTTACCCCTTCCCTTCTACATGTAGCTCTGCCCCTATCCCTACTTGTACACCCCTACCATTCCACCCTTATCCCTAAATCTGTCTTACTTATACCGCTTTCCCTACCCATACCTCTAACCCTATTCTTACCTCTACCACTATCCTTCATTTCTACATGTAGCTCTGCCCCTATCCCTACCTGTACCCCTACTCCTACCTCTCCACCCTTATACCTACACCTGCCCTTACATCTGCTTTACTCAAAACACTAGTCTTACCCCTACTTTTACCCTAACCTTCACTCCTCCATGTATTTCTACTCCTACCCCTACTTTTAGCAGCACCCATACCCTTACCTTCACTTCTACATATATTTCTACCTCTTCACCCTTATACCTATACCTGCCCTTACATCTTGGTTACTCACACCCCTCGTCCCCTCTTATATCTGTCTTACTCATATCCCCACCCTTATCCCTACATCCCCCCTAACATCTGCCTTACTCATACCCCTACCCTTATACCTACACCTGCCTTTACACCTGCCTTACTCATACACCCTACCCTTATCTCTACATCCCCCCTTATATCTGATTTACTCATAACCCCTACCCTCACCACTACTTTCTGTACCTTATTCGTACCTTACTTGAGCCATAGCCTACTGTATAATACTATTTTAAAAATAGCCAAACATTCATTGATAAATTTTTTCCTCGTCTATTGACAACCTTTATTCACTTTTTAAAATTTAAAAAGTAAATTTAAATTATCGAGTCTACTCTGCCAATCCTCTCCAAAACCACCCCCACGGCTAATTATTCATCTATCAGTTTTATCAGTGGAGCTGGTGGTGTTACAACTGTTGGTAGTCGAAGACGAAGAAACGACCGCTTCCTTGTCTTTGCTTGATTGTACCACAATGTCGAGTAGGGGAAACTCGTCGTCTCTGGCACGGTTCTTGTCCACCACGTGGAACGTTCTTCGCTCCACCGTGTCGCAGAACTTGGTCTCGTGCTCCCAGGATGGTGGTCGGACCGAGTTGAACTCCTCGTCCGCCATCAACGCGTGCGTAATGGCGGTGTTCAGTTTGGATCGGTTTAGGCTAAAGAGTGTGGCTGAACGTTTCTCGAGTTCGTCGTCGTCCAGGTCGGACGGGTCGTACTTGGTTGTGTCTGGCTCTCTTTGCTCCGGCTGTAGTGTTGCAATTAACGCGTCAATCTCGTCACGGCTTAAAGCGAACTGAAAAAAAATGGAAAATTAGTATCGTAAATTGATGATACTACATATAGTTCATAAATTGATGATAATATAAGTTCATAAATCGACCAGGCTATAGTAAGGCTAGACTCTAACTAAAACGAAATTAGGCTAAAGATTAGGTAGGACTATAAAAAAACAGTAAGGGTATGGTTAGGTTGAACAAAAGATAAAGAAGAAATGGTTAGGCTAAGAAAAAGACAGAGATAGACTGAACTATTTTTGGCTATGATATGGTTATACCAAGGCTATTGTAAAGCTGGCAACTCTACAGTAACACATAGTAATGCCAGAGCAATTATAAGGTAGACCAAAGGCAAGGCAAGAGCAGAGCTATGAGTAGGATAGAGCAGGGTCATTTCAGCTAAGGTAGAGTAAGGCGAGGCAAGGTAAATTAAGGTATAGTACGACAGGGTAAGGTACGATAAGTCAGAGTACTGTACGGAGCCAACATAGAGTAAGAGTAGAGTAGGGTAGGGTACGGTAGGATAGGGTAGATTAGAGTAGGGTAAGCTAGAGTAAGGTAGGGTAGGGTACGGTAGGGTACAGTAAGGTAGAGTATTGTAGGGCAGGGTAAGACAAATTAAGATATGATAGTTCACAGTAGGGTAAGGTATGACATATTGTAGTAAGATAAAGCCCGCTACCACAAAGTAAACCATCCTACCTCCCCGGCATCCTTCTCAGTCCTCTCCTCGGCCTGTGAATTCTCTGTTTTCTCGTCGATTGTCTTTTTGTCCTTCCGCTTCCTCTTCGATCTCCTGCGTCGAATCCCAACGTCCTCGTTCTCCATCGACAATAAACCGGCTTTTCTGAATTTTCGACTGGACCGGGTGGCTCTGGTAGTCTCGGACTCGGTGGATGTCTCCCCGTTACTGGCACTGTCCTGATTCTTGTCCTCGCTTTTTTGGGGGCGTTGCTTTGCTAGAAAATTTTAATTTTTTTTACCATGGTTTTCCAAATTAAATTTTTAAAAATTTTAAAATTTAAAAAAAATTAAAATTTTATAAAAAATTTCAAAATTAAAAAAAAATTAAAATTTTATTAAAAATTTCAAAAAAAATTGTAAATTCTATCGAAAATTCAAAATTTCAAAAACAAATTTTAAATTTCATAAAAAATCTCAAAACTTCAAAAAAAATTTCAATTAAAAAAAAATTACAAAAAAAATCAAAATTTTATAAAAAAACTTCAAAAAAAGTTTGAAATGTTACCTAAAAACAATAATTTCAAAAAAAAGCTTACCCTAGTAACCTTACGATGTCGTTCGCCATGACCCTTAATGACAGTTGATCCTCTTTTGCTATGTTTTGGAAATTCAACATCACCTTGTCGTACCTAAAACAAGTTTTATAATTATAAATTTGAAGTCTTGGGTAGGGTAAAGAGGTATAATATAAGATAGGGTACAGTAGGCTATGGAAAGGAAACGTAATGTAAAGCAAGGTACGTCAGACTTGAGTATTGTAGGGTAAAAATAGGCAAAGGTAAGGGTAGGGGTAGGGATTGGGGTAGGGGTAAAGGTAGGGTGGGGGTAAAGATAATAGTAAGGGTCGGGTAAAAAAAAGTAAGTTTAAAAAATGAAAATTAAAAAAAATTTACACTGCCACTTTTCGACTTTGCCTTATGCCTATTCATTGATCTGGGAGTTCGGGCGGCTTGTTGTCGCCGCTCGCCCTTCTTCGGGTCCGGACTATGGTGTGGGCTTCGACGATCTGGCGACTTGTTATCGGAACTTCGATTCTGATCGGAACTGCTTCGAGGCTTGGATCCGGCCGGCTTACTCTTCAGCATTTTTGAGGCTTTTTTCGGTTTTTCCGAACTGTGAGATTGGGACTTGCTCGAGCTTGAGGAGCGCTTGTTCGACCTTCGTTTTTCATTGGCTGAAAAATATTGGAAATCAATAATGTAACGAAATGTCAAAATTTTAAATCTTTTTTAAACTTCTTTAAAATCAAAGCCAAGCTACTGAACAACCTCAAAGTTTTAAAAAATTTTTCAAAAATTCCAAAAAAATCAATAATGTAACGAAAAGCCAAACCCACACTTCCGAGCCGGTTGAACTGGTGCCATAGCACTTCGTTCAGTCGAATCCACGGACGCATCCCTTGATTTCTGTTGCTTGAAATTGAAAAGACTCATCACCAACCGGGCCGCACAATGTTACCAAAATGACTATAATTTTTTTTTAATTTTTGAAATTCGAACTATTTTTCAAATTAAAATTTTTTTTTCGAATTTTTTTTAATTTTTCATCCATTTTTAGGCCTAAAACTTTTAAAATTTTTACTGTAGTAGGTGCCGACATAAAGAAGCCGCCATTTTTTACATGAAATTACGGGCAAAGTATGGCGGGTTATTTATGTCGGCACCTAATATTAGGTCGTTCAAAAAAGTCTGAGCCCCATAATCCATAAATTTTGCTTTGAGGGGCTCAGTATTATCTGCACAACCTACTATTGGTAGGGGTAAAGGTATTGATTCAAACAGCATCAAAGGGTGAGGATGAAAAATATACTGAGGAGGAGGGGGGGGGGGTACAAAAACCATTTTTTTCAATAATAATACTATTTATACATACATATTGATAAATATTGTCATTAAATACTAACAGAACCCTTAAAATGATATAAATTAGCCGTGGAAGAGGTTTCCCAATCCACTCAAGATATTGCCTTTGGCACCGCTTTTTTTGTAGTTTTGAACTTCTTGTTGGAATCGCTGTTCTTGCAACTTCTCAAAAGCAGCGCACTTTTTGTCTTTGAAGATGTTTGGCAACTAAAATACGATTTTTTCAATTAAAATTTTTAAAAAATTAAAAAAAAATCTTTTTGCCCAAAAAAATCCACAGGGGGGGGGGACCAAGCTGAATTTTCCTCAAAAATTTTTTTTTCAAAAAGCATATTTACCGATCCAGCAGTAGTAGCAGCTTCAAAAAGCACGTTTGTTTTCACTTTGGCACCTTCGATTTCATAGTCAATAACAGCATGCTCGCAGGTTAACAAACGATCAGGCTCACGTTTGGAAACCCAGTACTCCAGGAGCTCAGAGTTGGTTGGAGTGTAACTTCCTTGCTACAAAATTGTTCGTTTTGTGATTTATATATTGTTTTTAGCTTTATTTTAAAATTATTGTTGTATTGAGTTTACTTTGAGTGATCTTTGACATGTTTTTTGAAAAAATTGCTTCAGTTGACCTACTACAATATAAAATTCATCTGAAGTCGATTTAAATTAAAGCTAAGCCAACTTTGTAATAATTGTTACATTTCTAACACATTTTTTCATGTTCTTGCTTAAAAACTATCCATACAAGCCATTAATTCACAAAATATACCACTTTCCCCACCACCAAGCCCAATATCAACCTAAAACAATATAACTCCTCAAAACTTGTTTCAAAGATCTCTAAGATAATATCTATCCCACGCATCACGTAAAACATAATCTCTTTGTACTGTTCTTTAACCTGTACGCACAGGTAAACAACTTTAGATATTAAACTTACGTCAAGACCATTAGCTGCTAGCCATTCTCCAACCATGGCCAATTTGAAGGCTTTCCCTAGAAGCGGGTTGTCCAGCTCCGAGAAGAAAGCCTTTTCTAGCTGTAAAAATACACGTATTATCTTTAAGATAATAAAATATTGTGAAAGCTTAAGAAATAATGAAAAAAGACCAAAAATATCGATATTATAGTAAGTACAATTGAAAAATCTAATTTTAATGGATTTTAAAAGACAATACCTCTTCACGTCGTTGTCCACGTTCGTAGAACTTCATCCAAACATCAACGGCACCTTGTTTCTGCCAGTAATCCTTTTGCCAGATGCTTTTTGAGAACGCTGAGCACATCGTGAATTCAGGGTTTTCAGGTGGAGGACAAAGCTTGACTGTCAAGCGATAAGTACGATCTTCAGTGGCACGGCACAGGTTTCCATCAGTGTTTTCCAGAAGTTGAAGTTTTCTAAAAATGTTTGGTTTTTAAAATTTAAAATTTTTCAAAAATTTAAAAAATATTAACCTACCTAGACCCCTTGCACCAATCACAATAATAGCACTCTCTGCCACAAGTAGCAACGTCCATACACCTCAGTTTACCAATCGGTTGAATACTAACATCCAACTTCATAGCCAACTTATTAATGTGGACTCCAGGTGGCAGCGTGACATCAATTGACATGTCAAAGCAATCTGGCCAAGTAATCTGCACATTACCGTCGTCATCTCGATTATATGGACTTGAGAACTTGGGATTGGCCAGTTTGATCTGTGAAATACAATCTCGGCCGCTCAGCTCTTTGCAACAAGTTGTTCTTCTGATATCCTTCAGTCTCGCAATGAACAAATTCTTGCTGATAACAGCTTCATAACTTGTGTTAGACAATTTCCTAACTGTTCCAGAGCCAATAGGCACATCCTTGTCGTTATATACCACGGTATTCCCATTCTTATCGGCCACAACTTTGCCAGCCGACCGGCCTTGAGCATCATAACATTGTGAGACGCCAGGCGTTTCGGCCGAACATCTATAGCGATCACTACGTCGGCCAAACAATGACTGCTCTAGTTCTGATCCACCGATATCGTGAGCACTGAGTTGGGCGTCGGTTTTCTTGCCATTTTGGGAGATGGTATAGGCGTATGTTCCTTGGGTATTGTTTTGCCGGTCCTGTAAAAGTTCAAATAGTAGTTAGAAAACGTTTTTCTGGCTCTAAAAATATTAATCACATCAATTTTCATTGATCAAACAACCAAACACTTCAATTTTCAAAATTTTTCGAAAAAAAATTATATTAACCATGCCAAATCTCAACGAAATCATTTAAAATAAGTTCCAAATTAACTCCCAAAGATAGAAAAATATACCTTGAAGCTCAGTGTACCTTCTCCTTCATTTTTCGTTTGAGAATCCGGGTTCAACTTAAAGTCAAAACGGTCGTTTGTGGCTTTGAATCTAGTGTTCTTTGGATCCTTTAGATCTCCTTCAGCTATCGTATCTAATTCGTATTTACCATCAGCCTTCAATAAAGCATGTCTTTCCGTGTCTGTTTCATTTTGAAGTCGAAGTTGAGCTCTGTAAATCAAGGTTTATCGATAAAGACGCCGTTCTAAAAATCAATAATTTGTGTAACAGAACGTCAACATTGATTTTTGAGTTCATTCTTGATTTTCAAAGGAAAAATAAGGAAAAACACATAATATTAGGTAAATTATAGTCCAAGCGAGCAAGAATCGACGTATAAGAACTTACTTATGCCCGCCAGCTTGAGCAAGACCACCTTTGTCTCCAAATCGCTGGACTTGAGCACGTTCTCCGCCTTCAAGTTGAGCTGCGGCGTTGTTACCGTGAGCCGAAGCTGACAACTGCTTCTGACGGTCAATCAGATCAAGAACGACCTTCTCAGCATCAGATGCATCTAATCCTACCTGGAATGTGAGTTATTTTAGTTTTTGTTTGTTATGGGATTTTAGGTAATAACACCAAAAATCTGATTTGTTATTTAGATTTTTAAAATTTTATCATGGATAATATGTAACTCTGTTAGCTTAAAAAGGTTATTTTTTATAAAGTATCAATAGGAAATGACGGAATTATTTGTTAATTTACTCGATATTATCCATGACCTGATTAACTCGAAAGTTTATGCGTTTCCGACAGCTTTTTCAGATGTTACCTGTCAGAATAATTAAAAATACAAAGCTTAATGTCATACCCGTTCTTGTGTCTTACTATCCGTCCAATGAGTGTCAGCTTCGATGTGTTTTCGCTTTTCGTTCAGGATAACATGATTTGGTGGTGGTGTAACGGCCGAAACGGCTATTACAGCCGCAATTATTAATACTGCTGGCTTGCCCCAAGTCATAACTGAAATTTATCGCATTTTATATCTAAATTTAGCAGTTTTTCAATGTAAAAAAAGGTTAAAATAAATTAAGGCCTGAAAGATGGGTAACACTATAAAATTGAAAAGAAAACTTTGATATAAGTGAAATAACTTTAAAAATTGAAAAGCTGAAAGCAGAATCTTTTAAAAATAGCCAAAAGTAGCCTTTTTGAAACGAAAGCAAGATCAATATCGAATAAAAATATTAAAAAACAGGTAAAAGTGACCGTCGATTGAAAGTCGCCCCCGATTTACGCGGATTTCGGCGATCTTCAACAAGTCGGTTGTCAACTGATTGATGATCGATAAAAGGTTGAAGTCATGTTGAGATAGGTAAACTCATAGAAAGGGAGATTTTTGGGCTAATTAGGGGATTGAAAGTTTTGGGGAAAAGGGTGAGTAATGTTAGGTACTCTGCCCTAGACTTGCCTCACCCTAGTCTTGTTATAGTCCTAGCCTTAGCCCTGCCCTAGCCCTGCCCTAGCCCTGCCCTAGCCCAGCCCTGCCCTAGCCCTAGCCCTGCCCTAGCCCTGCCCTAGCCCTGCCCTAGCCCTGCCCTAGCCCTGCCCTAGCCCTGCCCTAGCCCTGCCCTAGCCCTGCCCTAGCCCTGCCCTAGCCCTGCCCTAGCCCTGCCCTAGCCCTGCCCTAGCCCTGCCTTAGCCTTGCCCTAGCCTTTCTGAGCCTTTTCCTAGCTTTGTCTTTGCCTTCCCTAGCCCTGCCCTGGCTTTATCCCAGCCCTTGCCCTAGCCCTACCCTAGCTTTGCTCTAACCGTTAGCCCTGTTTTAGCCCGCCTTGGCTTATCCTTCTCTTAATCTTGCCCTGTCCCAGAAAATTTATATTGCGTCGACATGGTATCGGTTTTTTATATCAGCTTATCCTCGCTAGCCTTACCATTCCATACTATAATATACCCCGCTTTACTATGCCTTATTTTATCCTACCATACCCTATCCTACTCCACCCTACCCCGTTTTACTTTACTTTACTCTAGCTTGCACTACTCTATTCTAGCTTACGCTACCCTACTCTACTATACCCTACTATATTATACGTTACTATATTTATTATACTCTACTATGATATACTCTACTATCCCCTTCTTCCTGAACAAAGAACGTACACGTTGTGTCATTCGAGTGACATTACTCACGAACCTAGTGACGCTTAAAACCTGCGCAGCGGGGAGATAACCAACAGGATGCGTCGGGCTGTGTTTGAACCTCTGATACGAATCAAGGAAGTCTATTAGGTGGGGGTTTTAAGAATATATAGGGAGGGTTTTTTCTATAAATTTAAGATGATATAGAGATTGACGTAATTTTTCACGTAAATCTCGGTTAACATAGGTATGAGTCATCTGGAAACCGGTTTTTGTTTCAGATGCGTCATGATTAACATCGAATTAGTTTATTATCTGTTTGTGTTGATAAGGAAGGGGATTTCAAGGCATGTAAGCATGGGAAATTTACTGGTTTTGACGATTAAAATATTCGCAATCTGTGTCAAATTAAGGGACATTTTATACGATGAAATGTGTTTGGAGCAAGTGTTTGGTCACATTTCATCGTATAACATGTCTCATCTTTTTTTATCAAACTCAAGTTTATTTTATTTTAAAATGACTTTTTATATGTATAAAATTTAAAAATTACTAAAGTAATACAAAAGACCTAAAATTGAATACAACAATTTTAACCGGATACTTATATAATGTTCAAGCTCGTATGAATACAAATCAATCGAAAATGCTATATAAAACAAAATTTTCAAAAAAACTTTAATTTTTTTAAAATTTTTCTGCACTGTGCAATTTCAGACTGCACCGTGCAATTTGAGACTGCACCGTGCAAAAAGTCCGAGAACTTTTGATGCAAAAAATAAAAAAATTATGCAAAAAAAGTTTTAAAAACAACTTGATGCTTAAAAATAAAAAAAAATTATGAAATAATGAGCAATATTGCATTATATGGTGTACAATGTTATAAATGGTCAAGATGTACAAAGTCGATTACTATAGTAAAGACTGGACAAAAGGATGTTATAGAGCCGTTGGTATACCATAAAATACCATAAAAATGTTAGCTAAATACCTCGTTTTGGTTTTTTGGTACAGTAAAATTTCTCTCTGTAGGGTTGGGTTTTGGCACAGTACAGGTTACGGTAGGATTTGGGTTTTTTCCGTTTTATTAGGTTTTTCAAAAAAGTTTGAGCTACTCATCCCGCAAATTTTGAGAAATGGCGCAGAGTTTTTTGAACAGTCTAATATCTGGAAACAGCCTAATATTTTTACCGTATTTCGCCCTGTATCTTACTGTAACTTTTTGCCAAAGCCAAATTTTTGGATTAGTATTGTACATACTGTAATAAGTACTGTATATTTAACATTATTAAACCTCATCCGTGTTGGTTTGTAGGTAAGCTTCTTCATTAGAAGCCGCAGACAGTCGTCGTGTCACATAGTTACTGTCGTCTTCTGGCCACAGTAAGTTGGCTTGTTTTAGCGGCGGACGGCCAGCCAATATCTTGTACAGGCTTTGTCTGAACGAGTTGCCAAAAATTAGGTACAAAAAGAAGTTGGCGGTACAGTTCACGACCACTAGTAAGTTGGAGAGGTCCACGAGGTATACGATAACATGGCTTAGCTGAAATGGGTTTGGTTTATGACATTTTCGGGTCGTTATGACAATATTATGACATTTTTATGACAAGGTATTAGATCCGACATAAAGAACCCGCCATACTTGTCCTGAACTTCCAGTAAAAAATGGCGGGTTCTTTATGTCAGCATCTAGTATAATGTTTGTATAGGACTTTTGGGGTAAATAATATGTGACTTACTTGATCATACAACGTTAGTTCCAGAAAATTGACCAGTAATGCAGTGAAGTTACATACGATGAAGAAGCATACCACCAGAATCAAACTTATCGTATCTGAGTCTTCTGAAATTTAAAAAAAATATAAAATACGAATCATGATGCAACGTGCTAAATAATGTTTAAATTAAAAAATAACCAAATCATAAAGACATCTTACAGTGAAAGTAGTTGCTCTATTCTTGCCCTACCTAACTGACAGGTAAGGCAAGAGTACTCAACCTGCCCCGCTCAGAATCAGCTCAAAATTTTTATATGGATTCTTTGTACTACTAGTAGTACCTATAAAAAATTTTAACTCGCGCTTTTGAGTTTTAAATTTGAATTATTTTGGTTTCCCGCCAATTTGGTTAATTTGGCATTGTGTTTCAAGCACTTTTTTCGACTTTCAGCCAAGCTACACTTACAAATTTAAAAATGTAGGTTTATTTAAATGTATTTTATCAAAGAAAAGTTCTTAAAAGTAAAAATTGGTAAAGTTACAAGCTTAAAACACAATGCCAATTTGGCGGGAACTTCAAAACGTAATGTTTTGATCTCGATTTTTTCGCGATTTCCTGGAAAGCGCGATGTAGAACTTTGCTGTAGATCTTATATTTACATGATCTTTCTATGTAAAAAGGTTAACGTCAATCAGGGCAGGTTGGATACTTTCCTAGTCATATGCCATACACTTTTCAGCGTATAAAATGTCCCTATATAAACTTTTGCCCCAAAAACGACAAAATTCAACCTACCTGAAGCTCCTTTAGTAACCACAGTAAATACGACACATATGTTGAGGACAATCAGCATTAATAACGGCCCTACGGCCATGAACGTTGTATACATGTAGGTATAGTAAATGGTGTAGTAAACCGGATCCATTCGGAATGGAGTTGGGCAGATTTGAAGTGACATGATACCACCATGCTTTGGCTCGATACATTGAATAGCTTGCAGCTCGAAACAGTGTGGTATGTTGTATAGAACGCACAGTACTGACATTACCATCACTACCACTTTGGCTTTTCTGAAGGGTTTGGTTAGAAGATGGTACTGTTTTGTGTCTGGCCTTGTCTACCTTAGTCTATTATACTCTGCCATGCACTATCTTACTTTACATTGCCCTACTTTACCGTTCCTTACCAATAACTTCCTTATTTCAAAAGATTTACATTTCGTTCACATAGTATTGATTTTATAGTTCATCTTAGTTTACCAGGCTCTACCTTAACTCACTAGGCTCTACTTTACGATATATAAAAGCTACCAAACGTATTTTACACTTACTTTGCAGTACAACATATATCCTTGAATGGTTTAGGTAGTACCACTGATATGAAGCAGTCCACTCCAGCTGCGACACAAAAATAGACTGAGGTTGTTTGAAAAACAGCTCCAAGTGGAAATATATATGGTGCTCCCGAGCCGTATAGATAGGCTAGTACTATAAAATTCAAATTTTTAAGAATTTTAAAAATTAAAAAAAAATTTTTTTTATTTGAAAATGATCTAAAACGACAAAAAACCCACTCGGAGGTCCATGATGTCTCCACGTTTCGAGTACGAACAAAAACATCGCAGTACAAATCATCAAAAAGTCCGAAGTAGCCAACGCCGCCAAGTATATGCTAGTCGAATGTACCCGTTGTTCCGGTGATGTGTATACGGTTACGACCAATATGTTACCAATCAACCCAATTGCACCTACAATCGCCAGTACCACGCCGCTGACCGCCACATTATACATCTGATAGCTGGCATCGGTTGAGGCCATGCACACATTGCAGTACTGTATCGAGGAATCCGTGAATTCAATTGACATCTGAAAAAAATATAGATTGTAAACTTGCAAGTATACTTTCTTAAGTCTAAACCAATATTTTAAACCGATATATTACAGTTTTTATCTCAACACATATTATGTTAAACCAACACGAAAGATCTCAACAGCCAAAATTCTTTGGCATTCCGTTAAATCGAGAAATAAATATTTCGGACAAGATTTTTGATAAAAATAAGATAAATCCTAACGTTTACTGTGAAATTTTCATTTAAAACAACTAATTTTAACTATTTTGAAATTTTTTTGATTTTATTTTGTTAAATTTTAGGGTTAATCGAGCCTATGGAAGCCAAAGACCGCGAAAAGAGCTGTTGTTCACAAGAAGAAGGTCCTAAAACAACAGTAAGTTCTCTTTTCTTTTTGGATTTTCTGTGTTTAGATTCTGAAGACGTTGAATAATGTGTGGAAATTTTGGAAATGGCTTTAAATAGGATGTATTTTACGAAATAAGACTTTTTTCTATCAAATTTGATCAAAAAAGGGTTGTTATCAAGAACTTTTGGTATAAATTGAAAGAAACTGCGGCTTTATACAATTGTGAGAGCTTTTAGAAGTTTTAGGAGACTTTTTCCGTGCTTTTTAGATAAATAGGTAACTTTTAAGGGAGTAATGACTTCGTTCTAGCTAGTTTTAGTCCAACTATCATAGATAACATAACTGTTTTTCAAATAAAGACTAAAATTCAATTTTAAGGCACACCCAGTAGAAGATATAGCTGCAAAAAGACCCAGGCTGGACCTAGAAGCTCAAGAAGTTACTTCATCAAGCTTGGATACAAAACCTTCAGCAATCGCTTCCGAAGCTACTACAATATCATCTCAAGCTATTCCTAAGCGTTCTGGCAAACCCAGACGTACTGCTGATCCAAAACTACGTGCCGCGGAAGCTCGGGAAAAGGAGATCCAAGCTTTTAAGGAAACGATGCCTAACAATATTGTCTTTCGTATCAAAAATGGTAAGATTTCAAGCTAAAAAGTTGCAAAATGTCAGGTAGAATGACGTGTAAAAGTAATGATTTTAGGTATACGATACTGCTCGCCATATTGGGGAACCTACAAGACGGAGACTAAGGGAAGATGGGTCGGTAGAAAGCTGACAGAGGTGTTTCAATCAGAGTTTTTGTCTTTCAATCCCAATTATGTGGTAGGTCATGGATAATAGGAAAATTTTTTATTTTTTTTTTGCAAACAGGAAACTTTAAATTGAATTTGAAGACTCATAATGAACTTTACAGGTAGCAGCCGCTCGCCGTGGTCGAATCATAATAAACGGGAAGCAGATGAACAATATTGATCATGTTATGAAGTTAGGCGAGAAGATACAACACATTGCGCATAGACATGAACACCCTGTACTGGATGTACCAATTCAAATTTTGGCAGAGACTGAGGACATGATGGTTGTAAATAAACCAGCATCGATGCCTGTGCACGCTTGTGGCAATTACAAAATTCATACTGTACTCGGATTACTGTGGAAACTACATGGAATCGTTGGGCTTAGAGGTTGGTTTAGGTTTTTTTATTGTTAGAATTTGCTTATTGAAAAAAATTTTTGACCAAACGTTACCTAAAATGCATGTTTTAAAGCCAGGGATACCCGAAATTCGAAAAAATTCTAAAATTTTTTTTCCACTTTAAAAAAAATTTTAATACTGTAAAAAATAGTTCTTATCGGAATCTGAAGCCTACCAACCCATAAAATTAAGCGTGCTTGAAAAATGTTTCAAAAATTGAAAAGGCAATATCAGGAAGTTTTTTCAGCTCCAAAGAGTTTACCAATAATAAGGTAAAAGTGCCGAAAATAACTATAAAACTTAAAAGTGATGTTAAATATGGTTGGAAAATGGCTTTTTAAAGTAATACGAAAATGTGACAGATAATGTTCGTAAACGATACAAAGAAATATAGGGAAACTGATACCCAGAATAACAAAAATATACAGGGAAACTTGTATTTATGGCTATAACAAGTAACATTACAATCATATGATACTATAAATACTACGAAAAGGTAAAAAGCAATATATCAAAGACTATGTTGTGACCAAGAGTACGCTATGATAAGGATTTAAAATATTATTCCAAATGACTCAAAAAAACATTCAAAACGCTTAGAAATACAATTGAAGTGAACACGAAAGGCTATTAAAACTACATAATTACATTATTAAGGATAGTAACTACAATATTTCACTACATAAACAAACAAAGATACAGTAAGAAAACACAAAAACAATAAAGAAAGAGTCCTAAGAAAGCTTATAAAGACAAACAAATATAGGTAAATACAGTAAGAAAACACTAAAACAATCGAGAAGAACTTAAGAAACCTAATAAAAGGCAACAAAATACAGAAAAGTACAGTCAATAACCCCTAAAACAACCAAACAGCCCTAATAAGAATTCCTAAAGACAAAACAAACAAAAACATACAGTAAGAAACCTCCAAAACCTCACCCAAAATTACACACTCCCAATAGAAAATAATACCCAAAGTTATCAGCCCAAAATTACCGTAAAAGAAAGCAGTGAAGCCGCGCTGGACTAAAAAAACAAGCCTAAATAGCAGCTGCTAACTAAACCATAAAATAAGCCGCAAGAGACTGGAACCTGTGTATCCGCATGATGATACGACAACAACAATGTTTATGTTAGGGGGAAGGAAAAAAATTTTTAAATTCACTCGCAAAAACAAAATTGAAAGTGACATAAAAGTCCATTCGTACGTTATCATATATGGCAGTGGGGATGAATGGCAACGTAAAGTTTTATTGCTATGGAGGAGGGTGGGACAAGGAAGGTTAGGGTGAGAGAGAGGAATAGACCAGTCTGGACTAAATTGTTTGGACTGGACTGGATATGATTGGACTGTATTGGACCGAGCTGAATCGGATAGAGTAGGATAGGATAGGATAGGGTAGGGTAGGGTTGGGTAGGGTAGCGTAGGATATAGTATGGTAGGGTAGGGCAGGGCAGGGCAGGGTAGGGTAGGGTATAGTAGGGTAGGGTATAGTAGGGTAGGGTAGGGTACGCCGGGGTAGGGTAGGGTATGGCTGGGTAGGTCGGGGTAGGGTAGGCTAGGGTATATTAAGGTATAACAAAGCCCTGCAAAGTGGAGCAGGATAGAGTTGGCTACAGTACGATGTATGTTAGAGTAAGTCAGAGCATAATAGGACCAAAAAACTCAAAATTATCACCGTAAATTGAAAATACAACTACGCAAAATGTATTTACCACGAGCCAAATCTACTAGTATTACAACCACGGTTACATTTTGCCAAAACACGTCACATTCGTGCATTTTTTGGGCGTAAAAATTAAATAAAGCAGCCCTATTAAAACATTTTGTGCAGACGAATTCACAGTATGTAACCGGAAGAAATTGAAAAGTTAAATATCAACTAGACTCCACGTATTTTGTGTTCTGACACATGATAATACGGTTGAATATGGGGATTCGAAAAGTTTTGCTTTAGTCAGAATGAGAGTTTGAGTTAAGTTTATATGGTAGATGGCTTAGTGAGAGCTAAATTAGAAAAAAAATAGTCTAGAATTGGGTATCGCTGGAGGTATAATATAGTATGATATTAGGTTGTTCACTTCTCTTAATTCTGCGCCATCTCTCAAAGCAAATTTGTGGAGTAAGGGGGCGCAGCATTATGTGAACAACCTAATAGTTTAAAAAATCAGTTTCCCCTTTTGAAGGGCTCATCCATATTTCGACAAACTAATAATTTGGGTTTTAGGGCCAAAAATGCAATTTCAATAAAGACAGAACTATTGTAGTACCTTTTGCATAATAAAAAGCATTTGCCAGTGTTAAAATATTGTATTTTGTGATAAGTGTTTAACTAGGAAGTAGAAAATAGAAATTTGTAGATGTCAAGAATTGTCAGTAGAAAGTGTTGTAGTTACAAGTGAGCTCAACTTTTTATAAAACATAAGAGAAGCAATAAGGAACAACTTGAAGTTGTGTAATCAAAAAATGAAATTTTGATGACAATTTGAATGAAAACGAGGCTTCACTATTTTTTTAAAAATAAAATTTGAAAAATTGAATTTTCGAATTTTAAAAATATTTTTAAAACTAAAATTTCGACGTTTAAAAATTTTAAAAAAATTTTGGCTAAAACTATACCTAAGGTCCCTTTAAACTTCAAAAGCACTTACAACCATGATGCCGAAATCACCAGGTACAACACCGAATTTTTATAGATAGCACTAGATTAAAAAAGCAATTTGCACTAATAATACGCGGCTGGCGTTAAAAGCCGGGCCGGAGGTGTTAATTAAGAAGCGTCAAAAAGTTCTGTGTGACAACAATAGAAAAACAAAGAATGATCCATCAAATCGTCAGGTTTTGTTTTTCTTTACTGTTTTATGCCGTCAAGTTATTAACGGCCGCCGGTAAATAATGAATGTCATGATCCGCACCACTGGGAGGTATTATTAACGACGATATCAGTTGTCGGAGGAAGTTTACGGTAAAGATATAGGAATATAAAGATAGGTACAAGGAGTTTGGCGCAAAAAAAAATATTTTTTTTGAATTTAACAAATGATTTTTTTTTTAATTTTAAAAATTTTAATTGGGAATTTTTTTTTATTTTTTTCAAAGAACTGAACGTCATTTTTCATAAAACCTTTTATACGTTTCGACGGTCCTCAGGCATGATAAAAATGGGCTAAATTTTATTATACGGAGGAGGAATGGCTATTCCAAGAACAACTAGGATAACCAAACATTAGGCGTATTAAAAAAAGACTTTGCAGTATAAAGATCTTACAGTATTAAAGTGCACTAATGCAAACCAGACAACCCTATAAAAACGCAAGATCATAAGTAATTGAAACTAGTGATAACAGTTACTAGAGGCTTTATATTGTAGGTTATTTGAAGCGTATTCTATGAATTTGATAGGTTGTTAAAATAAGGATAAGTCATTGTAAGTTATTAGAATTGCGTTTTACAAAAGAACTGCCACAACATGAGCAAAAAAAAGCTTATTACCTGCAAAAAACTACGATAGACAAAATGACATAAATGTCAGCTTGTAACCGCAAAATGGCAACACGCCTTCCCCAATGTTCTAAAAACGTAGCGATTACAATTCATTAGGGTAAAGACGAATTAACAATGGAAGATAATCTAGGTTGTCAACAGGGACGTCGTTTGGGGGGGGGGTGCTACCTGTGGACCAAAAAATTTTTTTGGGTTTTCTGAGTAACTAGTGCAAACATGTTTTGTGCGTCATTGGACAGGTTTTGGCATTTAAAAAAAAGGGGTATGTAACGTTGAAAATCTAGGACGTGGGTTGGTGGTTAGAATAGATTATTAACCCATGTAGAGGTTTTATTAAAACTTTGGTCAAAATAATTTTTCTTCTTTTCGAATTTTTTTTCATGTACAGATACGTGTCTGGTGTGAACCATAAAAACCTTATATCGAACTCATGAGACCCATACTATAACAGAAAAACCCAGACAAACATTTTTTTAAAAAGCCACCGCTCGGAACCCCAGAAATCGTAAAACAAAACACCCCATAAAAAATGAAACATTGTTGTAGCACGGTATTAACCCGAACGAACGCCGCCCCAAGTATCTTTTATACTTTGTTATGAGGAATTGCAGGGCTCGCGGTTTTTCCAAACTTGGCGCATTTTTTGTGTGTGTGACTTCTTCACGCAAAAAACCGCTTATCTGATTCAATTTTAACGCGTTTCGGCCGGCGAAACGTCAAAAACGGACGCGCATATATTTATATACACGGAATCTGGACAATAATACTGTATGGCGTGAGGGATGAGCAATATCATAAATGTCACATTTTTTTTTGAAATTGAGGGTGTTTGTCAGAGGGCACGTGGATTTGCGAAAGTCTTGAACGTTTTCGGAAAAGATTTGCTTTGTTTTGGCCGAAAGTTGCGCGACAGTTAAGGTTTTAAGCCTACTACGCCGTAGCCTACGCAGCAAATGTTTCTCAAACTTAAGCCTACTAAGAGAATGCATGCTAAACCTAAACCTACTACGCCGTAGCCTACTAAGCCTAAGCCTACTAAGCCTAAGCCTACTAAGCCTAAGCCTAGTAAGCCTAAGCCTACTAAGCCTAAGCCTAGTAAGCCTAAGCCTACTAAGCCTAAGCCTAGTAAGCCTAAGCCTACTAAGCCTAAGCCTAGTAAGCCTAAGCCTACTAAGCCTAAGCCTAGTAAGCCTAAGCCTACTAAGCCTAAGCCTAGTAAGCCTAAGCCTACTAAGCCTAAGCCTAGTAAGCCTAAGCCTACTAAGCCTAAGCCTATTAAGCCTAAGCCTAATAAGCCTAAGCCTACTAAGCCTAAGCTTACTAAACCTAAGTCTTCTAAGCCAAAACCTATTAAGCTGATAATGGTACTACCGATTTCGATCCTACAGTATCAACGATAACAAAGCCCGAATATCCTTGGCGAAAGTACAAAGTTGTAAGCGGAAATGTCGCCAATAGTACGAACGGTCGTACCACGCGGAATAGCTTGTTTTCGAAGATTTAAAATAACTTTTATGGGTGGTATTGAGGAAATGAAGTTGATAGCTTTCGAAGAACTCGATTAACTGGCCTCAAACTTTTGGCAAACTTAATTTTACATTTCGTCTATTATAAAATGGAACCGGTCTAGAAGATTTTAAGCTTGATTTACTGCGGTTTACGTGGAACAATTTTAAAATATGGAACGCTGGGTTTTAAAATTGAGTAATGGTAAAATTGTGGAATATCTAACAACATTATCATAATTTTTATTTTTACAAAAACATTAGCATAACTACCGTTTTATTAACCAAATTGATAAACCTAAACAAGTAAGAACGAAATTGCCATGCCAAAAAAACGAAATTGCTATGCCAAAAAATGCCATTTTCTCTGAAAATGTCAAAATTTTCAAATTTTAAGAATGTACTTGAACTTATCAGTAATCGAAACTTGATCACATAAGTACGCCAAATAGTAAAATGAATTAAAAAGTCATTAAAATTCGGAACGGTAAACGTAAGCCTAACTCAATTTGCGAAGTAAGACGTGCTCATCCGGCCCTTTTATAAGCGCGCAAAATTTGATTTACTTTTTGAACATGATACGGCTACGGTTCCAGACGAAAAACTATTTTGAATAATTTGACATTTGTAAACAACCGAACTACAACAA